ATCTCTAAAGCCTAGTTGACAAATATTGAAAGAAGTTATCCGTCAAACTTTGGCTAACGAATATTAGCTATAACCATCTGAAAATCTGCTTTCTTTTATATACTACTTTTGTACTACTGCTACTACTACTTTTGTATACTGCCTCTACAAATCTCGTTGTGTCTGAAAAAATACTTTTTCTGAAATCGAGCCTTCCGGAAGTCAGCCTTTAACAAGTTTTTCCATCTCAGCGTATGTTCATTCCGAGGTCTACTGCCCTCAAACGGATCATCAGGATTGCCGAACTAAACCACTAATTAGATCCTATTGTAGAGTTTTTCTTGCAAAGTTGCTAATTATGATCGGTGAATTAAAGAAACTTTCTTATTGTTTAACCTTATGAAACTGGAGTTGCATGGCTTGAGCTCTAGCCCACATGATCGTGGTTCGAATCTCACTAGGTGCTGATCAAACGATGAGGAGAGGTGGAAGCTCTAGCTCAGCCTGGACGAGGGAATCCTTTTGAGAGGCAAGGTCAAGTGAATTTTATTGTCAACATTTAATCCCCTTCTCAAATTTCACCTCACATGGGAATTATAGGCATGGCAGTGAGTCAGCCAGAATATACTCAAGCCTAAATTTCGTTTTTGGAGAGGTCCTCGAGAATGCCAGTAAATCAGATAAAGCAGCTGTGCTCATCCTATTTCGATTAAACTGATGACGGTCTGGTAGTTTCATTTTCCTGTCCTACATTTCCATTAAATTTCACATAGCTTTGCTTTCACAAGAGGTATTCTTCTCCAGAGAGGACTGCGGTTTCAACCTCGCCTAGGTCTTCTCAGCTCCCCTAACGGGACTCGAACGATGACGCTGCGGCGTATAGTCTTGACACGTTAACCACTACGCCATCTTGCCATGAGTGCGATTGAGTCACTGGGCAGATGTGAATTTCAAAAAAAGTCAGTCATTTTCTATATAACATTCTGAGGTGGGATCGTCGATTGTCGAAAACCTACTCAAAAACGAAATATGAGTAGAAAGTAATAGCATATATAAGTTTCTTCATCGACAATCCCACCACATAATCGAATGTGGGAAAATGTCTGGCCTTTCGTGAAATCCACATCTGCCCTGTGACTCTAGGCTACTTGTAGAAATGTGGCGTAGTAGTTAGCGTGTTGAGATCATACGCGGCAGTGTCATGGTTCGACTCCCTCTGGAGGTATTGATATGACCTATGCGAGGTCGAAACTCCGGTAAACCCAGAATGAGAATACCTTTTAGGGACGCAAAGCTGTGTGAAATCCAATGAAAAAGTAAGGTCTACTCACATCATTGTGGGAAAGTTTAAATACCAGTCCCTCATCACCTTAAATGAAATAGGGTAAATACAGCTTATGTACTTAAGCCTGCCACACAGAGACGCTTGGTCGAGCCGACACAGAGTACGTCGAGATTGGCATATGTGAACAGTGTTTATGTGAAAGAATGGACTGGCCAAGCTCCAACAGATTCGTTAAGTCTGAGATAAATGGTTTGTTGTAACATTGGCCTGCCATACATATAAGACACATCTGCTTGACAATTCCCATTCATGCTTTACTAATTTTCTCTCGACCCCACTGCGGCTTCTGATTTTCTCTAAACAGCTTCAAGTGTAGCAATCCCAGACACTCCCACCAAGCCATACAAGAAACTCATTTGCTCGGCGGTCAAGATTTGCATATATATTGGGTCATTTGCTCCCAGTGACCACTTATATACTTTTAATTGCCGACAGCTCCAACTTTCCTATTCCATAGACGCCTCCATACACAAGCAATTCTAGGCATTAACATCCTACCTGTCCTAGAACTCACATCCCAGGACCATGTTAGACAATAGGCAATACGACACAAGATCAAACTTTCCCAAGGGCGCCAAGGAAACTTAACCGGGATCTTGGAAGGAGGGCCTCATTTTTGAAGAGCCAAGCTTTAAATAAAGGAGGATTCTCAAAACCCAGGCCTGCAAGCACTTAACTGACTATAGTCTTAGAATAAGTGTTCCGGTCACACGAGGTCGCCTGCGGTAATTGGGAGTTGAAGTTTCCCACAACTTTAAAAGTGAACCTTACGTTTCTATTTCACTTCACATGGCATGGCTTCTCATCAGAGAAGCAAGTCTGTATACAATTTAATGTAAATGTGAGGCTTGAGCATAGCAATATGAAAGAAATGAACTATCGGTCCTACATCACCTTTTGCGACCAAGGGTGAAGAAAACTCTTATTAAAAGTTTGAATTTTGCCTTTAAAATCGACTATATTAAATAAATTCATAAAAAGTAGGTTTTTAACACTATCAGCAAATCTTGATTGAGAGTTCCCGCCTCCCCTGGATTCGAATACCTTTTTGAAAACAAGTTTAAGTGAAATTAATTGAAAACTTAAAGCCTACCAATATAATCGTAATAGAAGTCAACTAATGCTTCTGTAGATAGGAAGAGAAACTTGCTTTCGATGAATCTCATGAGATAACATTGTTGAGGGGACCTTCGTTTCGAATAAAAGGTTAGGACAAATGGTCTCGTAACTTGATTATCATGCGTACATGCTCATATTTCATTATCTCAACCATACTTATTTACAGACCTAGGCAGTCTCAGTCAAAGATTTTCTCTTGGGTTATTAGATCTTGAAGATAAGAACAGAAGCTTTAACCTTTGACAAGTCTGATTTAGGAACCGTATTGCATATAGACGCTAACACACACAAATATACATTCTCATACAACCGAGAAAAAAAAACACAACCAGTATGAAAGAAAATTAACCAAACCACTCTATATCGATCTATCTAGGGTTTTAATTTTCAAAATTTTGACTCGATTGAGTCTATATAAGTTGTAAGATAGAGCCGGATCGTGTTCTTGCTTTAGTGTTAACGTGAGACTTTTACAAGAATGACACCCAGCTCTGATGATGTCCATCGAATGATGGAAGTCTTGTGGACTGCGTCAACATGAATATCGTATACAAACCAAACGGCTGCAGTACAACGAGGTTCATCCGTCCTCATCTGGTGAGATGGACAAACGAATCTCTTCTTCATGCACTTTCATTCGAAACGAAGGTTCCCCTAATATTGCTCCTGCATCAAAATAGGGTGACTTGAACATTTATGCAAGACTTGTTGACAGTTTTGAGACCTACTTTCTATAATTAAACTCTAAAAAATCTGAAGGGAAGATTGCCCCTGATTGCATTAGCAAATTGAAATGGCCGATGGTATGAGGTATACTAATTTGCTGGATATGGACTTTGTGAGTTTATCAAGGAAGTGCAATAAGAATCTCCAAGTGTCGAATGGCTCGACTATTCTCGACTCAGAATTGCTGCGCTAACTTCTATTTTGGATAAAAAATGTTTGGTGAAGAGATTCTAAGGTCGATCCCACCAGAAGACGACGACGGATTCCTCTTGACCAGCTGCCGATTTGCTTCAACTGAATATTCTTGCTGATGGCCGAGAACAGACAATGCTTTTTCTGTTATAATTACTTTGAGCCATCACTTCTGGTTTCGTACATTTACGAACACATGCAGGCACATACAATTGCACAGACAGACACACATTCATGTTTAAAAGAGGACATATGACTTGAACTAACTAAATCACCTTATACCTCATCAAAGAGCTCAGATATAGAGTATATATACATGTATATATATATATATATATGAGTATATATATATGTGTACAGCATTTAGGGATGAACCGGTGAGTCTAATTGACTAGTTAGCTTGAATGTAGTTGTAAGGCTCATTCCCTGCTCTGATGATATCCGTCATACGACGGAAGAAATTTTAGCAACGGAAGAAGCGTCACCAAGAGTGTTTAAGTAAAGCTAATCCACAGCTGGTCAAGTAGCACCCATCGTCGTCTTCTGGTGGCAAAATGGAAGTGAGCTCGGCAATTATGAACCAAGAGTTCGTCAAAACCCAAATTCTATTATCATATACTCTCGGTTCATCCAGGCTAGATTGTATTAGGCCACTAAACGAAATCGAATCATGTATCTACCAGTACCTAAAACGATAATTTTGCCCCAACGACCGATTGCGATCAACCACTATCAACATTATTTCAGCAAATTAGCGTATATGATGTCGAATACACGGTTGAAGCTTGATTATTACACTCTTGTCTATTGACTCGAATGCCCTCGCGTTGTGCAGCATGGTGATAGCATTTTTGCCTCTGCATCCTCACGATTATTGTCCGAACCCCGCTGAAAGTGAAGATGAGACAAGGTCAAAGTGGAACCTGCCTTTCCTAATGGATGCTAGTGATGCCCTCTTAGGGGTGAACTTCACTATTCGTATTAAGTAGGTTTCGAAACTACTTGTAGATATTGAATTCCAGTTGTATACCTCCTAGGTCATACAAGGTGATGAAGGTCTGATAGCCCAATTTTCCCGTAGTGATATGCATAAGCCTCAAAGTGCCATTTACTTTAAAACGGTCTTGCTTC